TTCTATTTTAGATTCTAAGAGAATTACTTTGTAAATCGAGTTGTGGTCAAAAAATCTTGAGCCAAATACGATTGACTTCAGCAGATCGCAATAAACTTTGTCATTTGATTATTGACAAACTTCTTAGCAAATCTAAAAAGTATATCTTACAAAAAGATTTTTTTATCATTTTTTTTATTATTGATCTTATTTTCTTTTATTGTTTTGCTCTTTTTTATTTATTTCACTATTTTTAATATTGTAGAATAACTTCTGAACAATTTCAAGACTGGTCTGCAGCAATAAGTAATGTTATTAAATATGAAAAAGCATCGACGTACTATGTTCCATCGAATGCAAAATTTAAACGTCTTGCTAGCGGTAAACTTTGGGATAAGTACAATAATCTAAAAAAATACATCAAGCAACAAAAAGCAATAGATGAAGACGAAAATATCGAAAATATCCCTGATTGTCAACAAGAAATATTACTCAAATTACGTGCAATTCAACCGGATGATCCAAATCTAAAATATCTATGGAAAGAAACATTTAAGGCAAGGAATAGAGGGACTTCAATTATTAATTATTATGAAGAATATCCTATCTTAAAAACTTCTATTGGTGCCATATTGGTAATTCTACATTCCTAAACATTTATTTAAAAAAAAAAATTAAAACTCCAAGAACACACGCCAGTAAAACTTGTTGTATTATTATATTATTGGTAAACAATCTTAAAAATAATAAGTTCCGTAAGTCATCGTTCAGTGATTATTGAGAACTGATAATTTCAAAGTACTTTCAACTGTCTGGCTTGTGCGTGTGATTTGGCGGGAGTGTCTTGCTAAACTTTTAATGTTCTATAATTTATTCATAAATATGTTATAAGCTTTTATCTAATATTGTCAATTATTGCAGTTACAAACTGATTTTGAGACAGAAACAGGAATAGATGCGCATAGTTTTCCAAAAAAGTGGTCTACAATTGCTCCATATATATTAGATCTTGCTGCAAAAAAAGAAATATGCCCATNATTGTGTGAACTGCATAATGGTATACATATACATAAATATATATATTTGTATATAATTTCATTTTATACATATATTTTTTTGTTAAAATACGTTTTTATCAAGATAAATATATAATAAATAAATACATAATAAATAAAAATTTATAATAAATCAATTAAATTATTTATAATAAAGTAACTAAAATGATGCAGCTGAATATTCAACTTTGTGATAAAATTTTGTATTGATTAATATTATTAGTTTTTTTTATAATTATTGTTTACATTATTTATAATTATTATACATTTTTTATAATTATTGTT